TAACAGGAATTTGGACAGTCGGTAATAATATGAACCATGTTCGAACTTTCCATACAGCAACCGAGTTAGAAAATGGAGATGTGTTAGTTGCTGGCGGGTCTGAAGGTGATAAAAGTGCAGAACTGTATGTTTCACCGAAAAAAACTTTAGCAACTATCAATAAAATAAATAATCTATCGAATGGTTACAAAGTACCGGTGACAAAAAAGGTGTTAAATAAGGATGGGCACAATAATACTATTGGGAACAGCAAATATTCATAAAACGTTTAAAGCTGACAAAGGCATGAACAGCATTCAAACTTTGCCATGATTTGCCCTTACATTTCTATCTTATCCTATGAGTTCAACTGCTTATTATAATAATCATTAATAATTCCTTTGTGATTATTTTTATCCAATTTGTCTATCTACTGAGTTGGTTAAAAAGTTGAAAATGTGGGTGTGTTTAAATCTGAAAAACCTTGAGGGGTGGGGTGAGATATTCATCGATTAGATTCAAAGCATCATACGACGCGTTTCAATCCTTGCTTAAGGGATCATCATCAGGCATGTTCTGAATCAAAGAGCTACATAATATCATCGAAGACACCCTCAATTCGAATTCATTTTCATATAGAGGTCAATGAAGACAACCAGTATGAAGAATGACAATCGAAAGGAGTAACATTCGATAATTGAATCATAGCTAAACCGTGACGGTTTGAGTAGTAACTACCATGACCGGTTTCGAACCTATCAAAATTCGTTATCAAATGGCTTAAAACTTAAAATTGATTTGAAAATAACTTATATTACCTGTGTAGTATTTGAATTATTAGAATACCACGACCGGTTTCGACGGAATTGGCTGAAAAGCCTCACCGTCTCATCAGGTGGTTTAAATCTACATAAATAACAAAGATGATTAATTCAGAATCAAATTGAAAAGTCAAAAGACTTCCAATGTTAAGTTTGAGTAGGAAGCGCCATAATCGATTTCGAACATTTTACAGTTCGGTGTTGAATGGCTTTAATCTACATAAGTGATAAGATATAAGCAAAACTAAGTAGAACAGTCTCAAAAAGAATACAAAATTCAATTGCAAATGTTAGTCTATCAGTCTCGGCGGCGGGATGAGCACTGATGACGCGGTTCGTCTTCCTGTGACTACCCAGATCGATCATTCCGGCGACTGGATCCGTTGAAATCTGAGTCGGTTCCGGTACAGTTTTCGCCGATTCCAGCAAGTTCCGGCAGCTTCCTTGCCGCCGGATTCCGGCCGGAATTGCACGGGAAATATCCGATCAGTTCCTGACCGTTTCCAGCTCGAAGTTTGCAGGAAATGGTTGAGAAATGACTCGAACCTGCGTTTGAACTTCCGGCCGGAATCCGGCGGCACGGAAATGGTCGGAAAACGAACCTAACCGGCCAGAACCGACCGTGCCATAATAATCCGGGTACTGGCATCAGTTTCCGTCGGAAATTTCATTATCCGATTCTGAAATATATTAATAGAAAATATCCATTCTACATTT